GACAGTTTATTTAGCTTTTACTGTAGAGGACTGATTTAAACTTTTTTTCCAAGTTCCTGTGCTAGCCTTCTGCTTCTGTGGTTAAATGTGAATGTTCCCATGTCAATGCTCTTGCGCATTCCCTCACATTACATCATCCTGTAGCATGTGATCCTTATTCCACCTTTCAGTCTGTCCTCTTTTATCTGAGAAAAGACACCGTGGATCCAGTTTTGGATCCTGCAAGCTTGCTGCCCCTATTATCATTGAGTTTTCCCTTTTTTAATGTTTTTTAAACAAGAGATCAAGAAGACAACCTTTGAATTAGTCCTTTTGCTTCCGTTTCATCCCAGACCCTGGGAAAACAGCCCGAAGATGGTGACATCCTCTGTCAGGAAACACTGGGATAAAAGCAAAGTTCTCCTAAGTCCAGGGACTGAAGCATTTCAGCAAATGGGAGGGTACTGGTGTAGTTCCACATCTGATTGCCATAACCCCAGTTCCCATCAGAGAACTACTTCATTCTCCTTCCTAGAGGAGTATAATAGGAATGCACACATATCCCAGCTCTCATGCCTGCCTGATGAGCTGTATCAGAGGGTGTTTTGAGTCAACACAGTTTGTTAGTTATTCTAAAAATAATTTCTATGCATTAATAGGTATTACATTCCTTCCTTTACTTGTAAGGAATTTCAAGACTTGGAAGAGGAGTCTTAATACATCCTCATACTTGTTTTGTCTGAGGTTCTGTTTTTTTTCTAATGAGCTATAACCCCTGAAACTTCCATTTTTCAAGCATTGAGAGGTGACTATGATGCAAGAAAGTAAATGTGTTAAAGTAGCTTGTTGAATGACTTCGGTCTATATACATTGTAATATGTTCTTCTTTATTCTTTTACTATAAAAACAAGTCAAAAGCCATAAAAATGAATAAAAAATGTTTTTAAAATCACAGGAATGTAGTTTGACTTGCTTACAAAATATATCGGGACAAAGGCAGATGACTTAGCTTTTAATTCTAAAATCTTTTCCTGAGGGAAGGTTGGAAAGCCACTCACCACTCACTCCTCATGAGAGAAAACCAGCTATTTATCTCCAAACAATGGGCAATAAAGACTAACTGTGATATCATCTGAGAAGCAGATTTTTCCCCAGGCGTGGGTGCACATGATTTCCTTAGGACTGAAATCTTTTGGCCAGTTATGTCTGCTGGGACTCTTTAGGTAATTGAGTGTTGGAATGTTTCTACCTTATAGCAAAGAACGGTTGAGATGTGAATGCCACTTAGAGCTGCTAACACTCATCTCCCTTTGCTTCTTTCTAAATGTACATAGGGATTTCAATTTGGTCAGGTTCAACTGCCTTCTGGTGTGAGATAGAAATATGAGTTAGACAAGAGTCATTTTGGGGTCTCTTTTTATAAATCCCTTCCAAACAGCACTTTGAAAGCCCAAGACACTTCTTTTCGCATGGTTACTGCCACCTAATAGCACTAACCTTAACGACGGGTTTAGATGATCCCTGGAAAATTCTGTGTTACAAGAGTGACCTCAGAGGTGAGTCCCATTCTCACTGACCTCAGTTTCTGTCTCTACTGAGAAAGTTAAATAAACCTAAATCTCTGCAAGAAAAGAAGAATGAACCTTGGGAAAAGTGAGAAGCACTTGTCTTGCTTTTCCTCCCCTAATATATCTAAATCACTTCAGGAAACTCAATTAAGATAAAAAGATCTTCAGTGCAAACGGATTCTTCAGGAGATCTGAAGATGCTCAGTGCAAGATTCCCATCCTCCAGCAGTTTTCAAATCAGTGCATCACTCAGTACCAAGCCACTATCACATTGTCCAGTCCAATATGGTATGGGCTAACAAACCCTGACAATACCACTGTGTTTTGTGGGACATTTTTCTGGTTTATAAACAATATTTTGAGAGTTAGAAAATTTAATGTCAAGAGTATCCATCACCTTTAGGTCTCCAGTACCTGATTTTTCAGAATACTTAACATGATGTCTTGGTGTTTAAAATACAGCTGTTGTTGGTTGTGGTTACAGCTATGAGTACTCATTAGTGAGTCTCACTCTCTCGGAGTCTGATCTCACTCAGACAGATTCAAGACCTCATCTTGGAGATGTGAGGAACAATGAGTATGTCTTTTGAGAGTATTTATGCAATGCCTCATAGGAATGACTTGTTGAGCATCACTCAGGGTGAGCAGGTTATTCCAGCCAGCAGTCTGTTTCAGCATCACCACAGCATTGTGGTGTAAATCTAGACAGACCTGGAAAAATAAAGAAGACTATGCAATTAAAATTAAAGATAGTATCACATGGTTATAAATGTGCTCAGTTCTGGAATTTCCTCATACTGGACAGATTAACTTTGAAATCTTAATCCCAGTCCCCATAGTGCTGTCAGGGCTGTTAAAGCTGGGCTCAGCCTGTTATTGGGCTCCTACACTTCCAGAGGTTGTCCTGTCTGCCGAAGGCACTGAGCACGTATGGCTCCCAGGCTTCCCCACACCAACTGTAATCCACCTGCAGGGAGTGGGAAGGATGAAGTCTTTGTGCTGGGAGCACATAGGATTTAACTCAATCAGTTGCAGCTTCTAGCTTCAAGTGCTCTCATTTTCTACATGGTTCCCCTTCTTGAAGTTTAGCATAACTGTGGTGAGATTTTTGGCCCTTTCTGTTCCTGTTGGGTAAAACAGATACTTTCAGTATGAAGGCTTATTGTCTTCAGGCATTTTCAAACACTTTCTTGTCTCTGGCATTTTTCTAAGGGCCTCTCACATTTCTGAGGTTATAAATGAAGTGGCTGAGCATAGCGAACACCAGCACATGCATAACACACACCAGTCTGTCCCAATAGCTGGGCAGACCAGAGATAGGACACAAACAGATGAACTACATTACCTTGTGAATGGTATGGCTTTGGTCAGGGAGGAAGTGGGAGTGAAGAAGGTTTTTGCTACCCGGAGAGCTTGGTCAAGACAGTGGGGAGTGCAGGAAAAGTGCGTGGGAAGGTACTATTCCTTGAGGAACATGGAGAACAGCAATGTGGTGAAGCCCCGGCTCAGTGAGCTGCCTGCCAAAGCAGTACACTGGCTCTGCCCTGTGGCACTGTGGCAAACAGGGTATGGCAGACGGCCACGGAGCACTTGCAGGAGCTCCAAGCCTCTTACGGTACTGAAGCAAAGCATCCACACAAGGCACAGACTATCTACAAGGGGCAAACACTG